CAATTCGGTCATACTGGCAACCTGAACTACTTCTGAGTAAAAAATTATCGTTAACAAGCGGGTCCACTGTATTGGCAAAATTTAACATTTCTGCTACTTTGAGCTCAGTTTCAAGCCAATTCCAGTGCTAAAAACCAATCAAAATCATCTATATTTCCCTGTAATATGTCTTCCATTCTATCAAATAGACCAAGAAATCGCAAATACAAACTAAAAAAAACATACGAAAAAACATCTGCAAAAGTCCGCTGTTTAAATCGAAAAATCAGATTTCAGTTTTTCCTTCATTATACACAGTGTGCAGCAAGATCTGTTTTTATGGGTGCACACATACCACCTTAGATGTATTCTCTCATATCTAGCCCAAATGTACCACTCATCACAGTTTATCAGATGTGCTGAGCCTCAGACGTAGATCTACGGTTTGGACCCTGATCAAAAGCCGTAGATCACGGGCACGGACCCTGAAAGGGTTAGAAAATCATGGTGGCATACATAGTGTGATAATGCTGCCATTCGGACCAAATAGCAGCTGAATTTTTTTTCAAGAAGTCGGCAGCTCCCACGAGGCAGGGTGACCCAAAAAAGAAGAAAAATTCCCCGAAAAGAAAACACTTTCATCATCATTCCAACACTTTCACCTCACTCTCACTTATCAACTGTTTTGCAGAGGTGCTCAGAACACAACAGTTTAGAGCATATCCGTATAAAGATAACACTACAATATCCCCAAACTGCTAATATTCCCGAAACCCCTCCTTTAGAGTGCAGGCATTGTATTTCCCAGTTCCACCAGGACTCAAGGCCGCTATATAAAAATAACTACCGGTTTCCCCTACTCCCTTCACTAAATATACCCAGCTCACACTCCAACGATCGCAGTCCAAATACCATTTGTCCTCCATTCACATCCTATCTAACACGCTCATCACAGCCTGCGGAAGTCCAAGCCTTTGCCCACAAAACCCTCCCTTACCCCTTCCCCCTTTCCAACCTTTTCGAGGACGACCCCTACCCCGCCCTACTTCTCCTACAGATTTAAAATGCCCTCCATTCATTCTACTTTATCCATTCTCTCTAAATGACCCAACCACCTCAACAACCCCTCTTCAAGCCCTCTGACTAATACTTTATTTAACCCACCCTCCACATTCACGCGAATTCCTGCATAATAATTTACACCGCACATTGCCCTTAGACAAGGACATCCCACGCCTTCCAACCGCCTCCCCTCGCTGCTGCATTTACCACCCAAGCGTCACATACCATATAAGAGTGTTGGCACGACTATACTTTCATTCATTACCCTTCTTTGCCTCTACAGATAACGTTTTTTTGACCCCACATAGACCTCAATCCACCACTCACCTCTTTGCCTCATCAATTCTATGATTAAGAAACCTCACCCCTTCATAAAACCATGCCGCCCGATATATCAACTCCCAATATCCTGAAAACATCACTTCTTTCCATACTCCTTCTCCCCAATTTGATATCCAATTTTTCTTTATCCTAATCATTGATCCCCTCATCACCTTTACTCCTTTCTATGTCACTTTCAACTTTCTACCTTTACCTACCCACTCCAAACTCATCCCCTAACCTGTCAATTTCCTCTTAGAATCTCCAAAGCACAGTATCATCAGCAAAAAGTAACGGTGCTCAATTTCCCATTCTGTATTTAGTTTTCCTAATATTAATCCCACCCCTCTCCCGAACACCCTAGCATTTACTTCTTTTTACAACCCGATCTATAAATATATTAAACAACCATTGTGACATTAACACATTCCAGCCTAATACACATACAATCCCTGTCTAAGACCTACTTTTACTGGGAGTAGTTCTCCCTCTCTTCTACACACCCTATAACCTGAGCCTGCTATTTCCCCCCCCCCCCCCCCCTCAAAAAAAACTCTTACATCATTTAGTAACTTACACCTATTCCATATACTTGCAACTCGGCCACACAATCATTAGCCTTGTTAATCCAAAATGCAATAAAAACTACCCTACCTTTATCTAAATATTGTTCACATATATGCTTCAATGTAAACACTTGATCTACGCATCCCTACCCATTCTGAACCTCCTTGCTCCATCCGCAATCCTACATTTTGTCTTACCTCTAATGCTTTCAATTAAAACCCGAACCGTCCACGTTTCCTGGTATAAAACTCAGGAACTATTCCTCTATAATTTTTTACAATTCTCTTTTGTCCCCTTTCTTTATAAAAGGGACTATACAATGCCTCTCGCCAATCCCTAGGTACCTCCCCTCTTTCATACATTTATTAAACAAAAGTAACAACCACTCCAACACTATATATCCCCTGCTTTTAGACATTTCCTGTCATGATCCCAACAGTTCCAGCTGCTTTACCTTTACCTTTCATTCTATGTAATGCCTCACGTACCTCCCCCACACTTACATTCTGCCTCATCCTTCACTCCTAAAAGTGGTATACCCTCCTGCCCATGCCAAGAAATTACGCCTCACTTTCTTCCTCAATATTTTAAAATACCTCAAAATAATTCTCGCCATCTACCTAATACCTCCCTCTCCCCATCTCTAACTTCCCCTACTCTGTTTTTAACTGACAAATCTATACGTTCCCTAGGCTTTCTTAACTTAAAAAAAAAAAAAAGGCACAATACCGTGACTGAACGATACACAAATAACCCGCCACATAAAAGAGAGAAGCCTTGACGAACGACGACGTTTCGTTCCAACTTGGACCATTTACAAAGTCACACTAAAACCAAAGTGGAGTAGTACAAGAATGATATATAATACCGACAGATGATAAATAAACACATCACAACACCCGGGCATCCCCCATCGTAGACCACACAACAAAGACACCCAGGACGCCGCATTCATCGGTGTCCTTGAATGTCATCAACATGTGCGGCTGTCTGGTGTCTTTGTTGTGGGCGTTTGCCATCACAGTGGCCTGGCCTGGATGGCGAAACGTCTCTGATGGGGAACTCCCGGGAGTTTGCCATGTGTCTTAATTTCATCTTGTCGTATTTATACCATTCATGTATTTTTTTTTTTTTTATCTACTACTACACTACCACCACCTCTTCCTGCCTATATATCGCCGTCCTGCTTCCACTTATCAGTTAGTGTGACTTGTAAATGGTCAAGTCGGGACGAAACGTTCCTTTGTAAGCTTTCCTCTTTTAAGTGCGGGTTATCTGTTTAGCTTTCTTACCTTTCATGGGTCCAAGGCCCAAATCTGGAGTCATGCACCAGTGTCCAAGAATTTTCAAAAAAAATTTGTTATTTTTCAATGAAAATCGTAAGAGAATCTTTTTGTGAAAGTAATAAAACAAAAAGTACGAATTTGGGGTTGAAAAATGACGAAATTATGCTCTCGCGAATTTTGATGTGTCAGCGATAATTATCGAATCGGCGATTTTTTGCCGACTTTGACTCCCAATTTCGGCCAATTACATTATTCCAATCAACCAAATTTCTTAGCTATTTGCACTAGTATACTTTTCTATTCTATCGATTGCGCACAAGAAATCGCCAAGTCAACAGTTTCAACAACAAATAAAGTGATCGGAAATTGTTAATTTAATTTTGGCCAATTTACACAAAGTCAAATATTCCAATTTCAAAATAGGGTCCAGATAAACACTGTAGGCATACCTGTAGGTGCTTGGGCACTAAACTAACATTTCCCACAGTTTCATTAGTTATTGAGTTTGAGCTTTACAATAAATTTCCAATTTTGAATTTTTATTCCAAATAAAGAATTTTTATTCCAACCAAAAAATATAAGATTCACTTTGTTATGCAATATTGTAATAATTGTATAAATAATGGGGGGGGGGGGGGGGGGGGGGGGGGGGGGTGGGGTGTGGGGGGGGGGGGGGGTGTGGGGAGGACAGTACCGCGCGTCCGATACATATGTATACTCTATTTGATAAGTGATACTGATTGGCGTAACAGTTGGTCGTCAGATGCGATTATAAGAGGCGGGATTGAGTTAAAGCGAATCGATTGTTTACTCTTGAACATCGGCAAAATTTAACATTTCCGCACTTTGAGCTCATTTTGAAGCCATTCCAGTGCTAACAACAATCAAAATTACTCATTTCTATGAATGTCTTCCATTTATCAAATGAGACTAAGAAATCACAAATACAACTATAAAAAACATACGAAAAAACACTGCAAAGTCACTGTTTAATCGAAAATCACGGTCCTCAGTTTTTTTCTCTCATTAACACAGGTGCTGCAGGATCTGTTTATGTGGTGCACACACACCACATATGTATTCTCTCATATCTTGGCCCAAATGTACTACTCACAGTTTAGCATAGTGATCAGAACTCATGCGTAATTCTACGGTTTGGCACTCACCATAAAGCCGTAGATCTACAGTACGGACCCGAAGGGTTAACTTGTTTTTCAACTCGCTCTCAAAATTTTTTCTTAATTTCATTAAAATTTCTTGACAGTGCCTCTCCCACTCTAATCATCTGCTCTCCTTTGCACTTCCCCTCCCCTCTCCCCCCAAACCCCAACCTCTCTTTACCTTTCTTTTACTCTCCATATAGTCAGCACTTCTTTAACACTTCTGCTTTGGTAAAAACCTCTCATAGGCTAACTTTTTCTCTATTATCACACCCTATACTTCATCAGTCCACCAATCACTCCTCTTTCCTCCTGCCCCCACCCTCTTATAACCACAAACTTCTGCCCCACATTCTAATACTGCATTTTTAAAACGCATCCAACCCTCCTCAACCCCCCCACTAATCCTCTTTGCACTAGCCCACCTTTCTGCCAATAGTCGCTTATATCTCGCCCGAACTTCCTCCTCCCTTAGTTTATACACTTTCACTTCCCTCCTACTTGTTGAAGGAATTCAAGGAGTACATAGACAGTGAAGAACTGAAATCTGAACAAGTGTTTAATTTGGGGTTGAGACAGCCAAGGGGTTTAGAAAAATATAGTATAATATGGAACTCCAACGTACACCACTTCCCTAAGATGTGCAGAGCCTCTGACAGCGTCACCAAATGATCAACATGGATGATGATAGGTCGTAAGACATCATACAGCCCTGTGCAAAGTCCTTGAAGGAACACATCCAAGTCAGGAGTCCCAGCTGTAAAGAA